TACCTGGTGCGGTGTGTAAACATCGCCACCGGGGAGACAAAGGCGGTCGGGCGTGGTACTGACAAACCCACCCCCTCGTGTGCCGTTCTGCCCTTCATAAGTCCTCGTTAAGAGCACTTGCCCCGACAGTTTGTTAGGGCTATACAGGGGATCTTTGTCTTTTTCTTCGTATGCTTACAGCCACGTGCGACAGTGCTCAGTGCACTGCGCTCCGAACCCGGCGACCCGAGTTTGACTCCCGCTCACGACCAACAACAGTGGCGAATTTCTGTACGGGACTTCGGCCTACCGTAGGTCGACTCAGCCTTAAAATGAGTTCCTGGTGCAGTGGCGATTACATCGGCACTGGGAGACAAATGTTGCGGTCACCCACCTCCTCGTGTGCCATGATCGAACCTTCATCGGTGCTCGATAATATATTGGTTCGTGCTTTGATGGGAGACTGCTTGTGATGTAGACTCGGGCGGCAAGTTGTGATGGATTCCTGATTCTATCTGTGCGGAGCTGCGAGTGTTAACTCTTCGTGCGCGTGACTTTCTCTTCACATACTCAGCTGTTCTCCAATGCGGAGCCAAACTCTCAACTTGCCAAAACATCTCTCAATGCACAGCCCTCCCCAAACGGAGTCTCGAGACTCTACGAGGAGATGTTGAGTGAAGGACATCACTCTTAGTACGACTACTTCTACTACTAGAATATCGATATCCAAGTCTGATACCAAGTCAGCCCAATGTCTCCAGCATGCCTCGACCGTCAGTGAAATGAGCGTCACGTTCCGGTGAATTTCAGCTTTCTCCTTTGGAGAAACAGACCCCGCCATAGGAACATGGAAGGAGCATCTCCACCGACTCAGGGTGCCGACAGAGACGAACACTGCGCTGTGTAGTGACTGTGTGTGTAGTGACTGTGTGTAGTGACTGTGTGTAGTGACTGTGTGTGTAGTGACTGTGTGTAGTGACTGTGTGTAGTGACTGTGTGTGTAGTGACTGTGAGTAGTGACTGTGTGTAGTGACTGTGTGTGTAGTGACTGTGAGTAGTGACTGTGTGTGTAGTGACTGTGTGTAGTGACTGTGTGTAGTGACTGTGTGTGTAGTGACTGTGAGTAGTGACTGTGTGTGTAGTGACTGTGTGTGTAGTAACTCTGTGTGTAGTGACTGTGTGTGTAGTGACTGTGTGTAGTGACTGTGTGTGTAGTGACTGTGTGTAGTGACTGTGTGTGTAGTGACTGTGTGTAGTGACTGTGTGTAGTGACTGTGTGTAGTGACTGCGTGTGTAGTGACTGTGTGTGTAGTGACTGTGTGTAGTGACTGCGTGTGTAGTGACTGTGTGTAGTGACTGTGTGTGTAGTGACTGTGTGTGTAGTGACTGTGTGTAGTGACTGTGTGTAGTGACTGTGTGTGTAGTGACTGTGAGTAGTGACTGTGTGTAGTGACTGTGTAGTGACTGTGTGTGTAGTGACTGTGTGTGTAGTGACTGTGTGTGTAGTGACTGTGTGTAGTGACTGTGTGTAGTGACTGTGTAGTGACTGTGAGTAGTGACTGTGAGTAGTGACTGTGTGTGTAGTGACTGTGTGTGTAGTGACTGTGTGTGTAGTGACTGTGTGTAGTGACTGTGTGTGTAGTGACTGTGTGTAGTGACTGTGAGTAGTGACTGTGTATAGTGACTGTGTGTGTAGTGACTGTGTGTAGTGACTGTGTGTATTGACTGTGAGTAGTGACTGTGTGTGTGTAGTGACTGTGAGTAGTGACTGTGTGTGTAGTGACTGTGTGTATTGACTGTGAGTAGTGACTGTGTGTGTAGTGACTGTGAGTAGTGACTGTGTGTGTAGTGACTATGTGTGTAGTGACTGTGAGTAGTGACTGTGTGTGTAGTGACTGTGAGTAGTGACTGTGTGTGTAGTGACTGTGTGTAGTGACTGTGAGTAGTGACTGTGTGTGTAGTGACTGTGTGTGTAGTGACTGTGAGTAGTGACTGTGTGTGTAGTGACTGTGTGTAGTGACTGTGAGTAGTGACTGTGTAGTGACTGTGTGTGTAGTGACTGTGTGTAGTGACTGTGAGTAGTGACTGTGTGTAGTGACTGTGTGTGTAGTGACTGTGTGTGTAGTGACTGTGTGTATTGACTGTGAATAGTGACTGTGTGTGTAGTGACTGTGAGTAGTGACTGTGTGTGTAGTGACTATGTGTGTAGTGACTGTGTGTTGTGACTGTGTGTAGTGACTGTGTGTAGTGACTGTGTGTGTAGTGACTGTGTGTGTAGTGACTGTGAGTAGTGACTGTGTGTAGTGACTGTGTGTGTAGTGACAGTGTGTAGTGACTGTGTGTGTAGTGACTGTGTGTAGTGACTGTGAGTAGTGACTGTGTGTGTAGTGATTGTGTGTAGTGACTGTGTGTAGTGACTGTGTGTGTAGTGACTGTGTGTAGTGACTGTGAGTAGTGACTGTGTGTGTAGTGACTGCATCTGTAGTGACTGTGTGTAGTGACTGTGTGTAGTGACTGTGTGTGTAGTGACTGTGTGTAGTGACTGTGTGTGTAGTGACTGTGTGTAGTGACTGTGTGTAGTGACTGCATCTGTAGTGACTGTGTGTAGTGACTGTGTGTAGTGACTGCTCGCCATCAGCCGGGCTTAGCCGACCGGTGTACAAAGGCTGCACCGAGAGACCCGCAATGCATGAGGAGTTTGTGTATTGAAGCTTTCAGGAGTTTGTGTGTTGTGTTAAGTGCGCGCGGCTATGGTTCGCGTACCTGCGATGCACACACGCACTATTTGAGCGGATGAGTGCAGTGTAGAACAACAACAACAACAACTCCTACTTGGTTGGTCTCCGTGCAGTACGTGGGATTGAGCAGCAGTGGTGCAGCGGTGAGAGCACCACCGCACTTTGAACCCAGGTCGCCCGAGTTCAATTCCTGGGCACGGCTAAGATTTGCAGCGAGCGAAATCTGTGAACCTGCCCACCCCCCCCCCCCCCCCCCCCCCGTGACCCGCAGTGATTGGGAGGCCTTCATCCAGCAGCGGATTGAAAATGCCTGTGGACAAACGCAGAGAGGGATTTTACGTGTGCGTGTGCACGCGCGTGGTGGTGCGTGCAGACCACGTGCAGACATGGAGAGAGGCAGTGCGGTGGTTGCGAGTTCGTCGTCCGCGTGTTTGCCGACACGTGGAGCTGTACACTTTGCGGGCGCTAATCGGAGGTGCGGGATGAAGTGAGCGAGAAACTCTGGGTAGACTCGCCCCCGTCACGGGAACGTGGAATTTTCACCACAGGCTCAGGGGCTGTAAATAGGAGGTGAGCACCGTCTCAATGTTCATTGGAGCAGGACGTCGCTGATAATGAAACTATTATCGCATGCAAGGAGTGTTATAGGGACTCTCTGACCCGTGTGTGTGCGAGGTGTCAGAGTGGTGTAGTGGTGTAGCGCTACGAGCCCCGGCGACCCGAGTTCGATTCCCGCTCACGGCCAACACCAGTGACGATTATCTGAATTGGTCCTGGGTCTCCCCTAGGTCGACTCAGCCTCAAATTAGTACTTGGTGCGGTGTGTAAACATCGCCACTGGGGAGACAAAGGCGACCGGGCGTGGTGCTGGCCCACCCACCCTCTCGTGTGCCGTACCGACCTTCATAGGTGCTACTCGCTAACAGCACTTGCCCCTACAGTCTGCTAAGGCTACACGGAAGATCCTCGTCGTTGATGCTCAACCGCCAACAGAACGTTCTCCGCTTCTGTGATAAGTAAAACGCTGTAGCAGTCGATGAAGCAAGACCCACATTCCATAGCGATGTGGAATGGCCAATCTCGAGACACAGGCGAGCAGAAGCGCCACCTCGTGGTCACACGAGCGCAAGACACAGACCTCGACTCGTCCACGTGATTTCGCCTGCCCCGTACGCGCGGATTGTGCTGACGTGGATAGGTCAAAGGAATAAAAGTGCAGTCCTGCAATTGCTTGCTCGTGTCACCGCTTGAAGATGGGGTCTGCACTGCGTTTAAGTGTTTAGCAATCGCACGGAGCGGCGTGGAACCTCAGCGGTGAAGCTTTATGGGATGAGTGAATCCAATACGCATCCGTTTTGGGGCCAGAATTCAGACAATTCCATTGTTTGCTTTTTGTTGTTGTACAAAGCGTCGACTTGGGACAGGCTGCAGTCGTGCCAAGTCTCAGCTCTTTAAACCGCCCACAATATCGCATGAACTTTGCGTCAGTCTCGCTCGGGTAGGCGAGTCCCAGTGGTCTGACAGATCTACACACACGTGGGGTGAATGTGTGCTCGCGGGCAGCAGGGATGCACAACTTTGCTAGTTTGTTAGATCCACTCGTATGCGATTGGCATCCGATCTCATCCTAATCCTGCCCTAGGTCGACTCGGCCTGAAATGAATACTGTACCCGGTCGCGGTACTTGTACACTGGGAAGACAAATGTGGTGTTGGTGGTGGTGCTGATCACAGCAGGCGTTGTCCTGTGGTGATGGCGGGGTTTTCTTCATCATTTATAGAGAGTGCTGGATTTGAATTAGGCCGTGATGTTAAAGCACTATTCTCCAGACAACAACACGAATCACTTACTGCCCATCGTCAATCCACTGCTGGCTGAAGGCCTCCACACAGCACCGTCAGGCGTGTGGGTTGCTTGCCCATACTTCACCATACCAGGTCAGCGGAGGCTGTTTGCAAAGTGCAGGGTCCAGGCACCACGGGCAGGATTCAAACTCGCGGGCTCCCGGGGGTCCCTAGGGTGTGGGGGGGGGGTTCGTGTGCCCCCCACTGCTCCAGCCCCCCACTCGCGTGTCGCGACGCGCCGTTCGCATTGTCTGCCGAAGACGAATGAGCAGAGCCTTACGCAGAACCCATATATAGCCACGCCACGGTGTCTGACACATGGAAGGCATTTGCTCGACCCAGACTGTATATTTAAAATATAACGAGCGTCAGAAAGTGCCGATGGTTCTTCCTCCTCGCGTGCAGAGAGCGAGAGAGAGAGAGAGGAGAGAGAGAGGAGAGAGAGAGAGGAGAGAGAGAGGATCTGCGCCTCATCCTTGCGCAGGGGCCATGCTAATATTCTCTGTGTCGTTCCAATTTTAGTATCTGTACTGCCGAAGCAAGAGGAGAGAGAGAGGAGAGTGGGGAGAGAGTGGGGAGAGAGAGAGAGAGGGGGGACAGAGAGAGAGTGGAGAGAGAGTGGGGGGAGGGAGAGAGGGGAGAGCTCTTGCCCCCCCCCCCACGTCATCCGCGAGCGAGCGAGCAGCAGCAGCAGCAGGCCGCGTCCGCCTACGTGCAGAAACACAGACGGTATGTCATCTTCTCTGTGCGCTTGTTTCATTTCACTCCTTTACCCCTCCCTCCCTCCCGCCGCCCCCACCAGTTTCTTCTCTGCCCCCACCGCCCAAACCCCCCCCCCCCCCTCTCTCAACCCCTCCCCGCCCGGGCCCCCACGTAGCTGTTGTGTGGCAGTGTTGGGGGGATGATGTTGAAGACGTCAGTGGCGTGAGCTGAGATCACGCAGCGAGGGGGGAGGGGGGCGTCAGAGGATGGGGGAAGTCGCGGTTTGGGGTTTCCGAGCTGAGCTGCCCTGGCCCTGACATACACACACTCACACATACACTCACACACACACATTCACACACACATACACACACACTCACACACACATACATGCACTCACACACATACACTCACACACACATACACTCACACACACTCACACACACTCACATACACTCACACATACACTCACACACACATTCACACACACACATACACACACACTCACATACACACACACATGCACTCCCACACATACACTCACACACACATACACTCACACACACATACACTCACACACACTCACACACACTCACATACACACTCACACATACACACATACACTCACATACATACACTCACACACACATACACACATACACACACATACACTCACACACACATACACTCACACACACATACACACACACTCACACACACATACACTCACACATACACTCACACACACTCACACACACATACACTCACACACACACATATACACACACACACTCACACATACACTCACACATACATACACATACACACACTTACATACACACACTCACATACTCACACTCACATACACTCACACACACATACACTCACACACACATACACTCACACACATACAAAGACAAAGATCCCCCATATAGCCTTAACAGACTGTAGGGGCAAGTGCTGTTAGCGGGCACCTTACATACACACACTCACATACTCACATACACTCACACACATATACACTCACACACACTCACATACACACACTCACACATACACTCACACACACTCACATACACACACACACATACACACACATACACTCACACACACACATACACGCACACGCGTACACACACGCACACACACGCACACGTTGTCGTTGAGTCAAGATGCGTGCGGTTCCCTGCTGATATTGAACGCCACCCATACCATGGACAACCTCGCCTCGCACTGCCGTCAAATGGACATTTGAATCTTAGGTCGGGACCCCGGGGTCCCGTAAGCCCCCGGCTCTCGCATAAACTGCGCTGCGACGTCGCTTTATGTCTGTTGAAGGCGAACGACACGGCGATCTATTATTCCTCTCGACGAGCTCCACGCGATGCGCGAATCAAAGTTTCGTTTCTTCTGCACATTCGTCCTCGCTGCTGGTGCGCTTGGACACGACACGACACCAGGACGGTCCGCGCCATGCGGGTCGCGGCGTTGGTGTGCGCGGTGGGACGGAGTCGACAGAAATACACATACATTTATTGCGATTTCGACTTCCGTTTATTCGGCACACCGGGGTCACGCCATAAGGTTCATTTGTGCATTTGACAGTGGGTGAGTTGGTGAATGAGTGAATGGTTGGGTGACTAGGTCTGGCGTTGGGTTAGTGGGTGGGTGATTGGGTTGGTAACTGGATGTGGGGTTGGTTTAGTGGGTGGGTGAGTAGGTTGGTAAATGGGTGTGAGGTTGGGTTAGTGGGTGGGTGAGTAGGTTGGTAACTGGGTGGGTGTGGGGTTGGGTTAGTGGGTGGGTGAGTAGGTTGGTAACTGGGTGTGGGGTTGGGTTAGTGGGTGGGTGAGTAGATTGGTAACTGGGTGTGGGGTTGGGTTAGTGGGTGGGTGAGTAGATTGGTAACTGGGTGTGGGGTTGGGTTAGTGGGTGGGTGAGTAGGTTGGTAAATGGGTGTGGGGTTGGGTTAGTGGGTGAGTTGGTGTGGGGTTGGGATAGTGGGTGGGTGAGTAGGTTGGTAAATGGGTGTGGGGATTGTTTAGTGGGTGGGTGAGTGGGTGTGGGGTTGGGTTAGTGGGTGGGTGAGTAGGTTGGTAAATGGGTGTGGGGTTGGGTTAGTGGGTGGGTGAGTGGGTGCGGGGTTGAGTGAGTGGGTGGGTGAGTGAGTCGGTGGGTGTCACTGTAATTCACCAACTCTCAGCCAAAGCAATTTAACGGACATCACTTCGAACTGAATCTTTAATAGTTGATATTCATCGTGTTGTTTCTTAACCTTCATTTAATTCCTGAACTTTCTGTACCGATGTGCGCATCGCAAGAGGGATGTTTCGAAAGACACACTCTTGTAACGATGTTGTAATATCCTTCCATGGTTCCCATCTCGCCGGTGCCTCGACTTCACAAACCAGCGCTGGCCAGCGAGGTGAAGCATGGTCAAGTAACCCCGATGACCTACGTAGTGTGGGGAGGCCCTCATCCAGCAGTGAATTAACAACAAAACAAATTGTCTGTAGATGTGCATTTGCTCGACGTTTCATGAAGTGTTACACACACACACACCAAGAGTGTAGTCCCACGGATAGCCGCGTGAACGCAGAGGCACACCGAGGTTGAGTAAGTCAAGACATGGCGCCTCAACGAGACCCCATGCACCGGGTCGAGTGAGATGCGAGTGACGGATTTGAGGTCGTGGGACAGGTGGCCGAGGAGGCGACGCGACTGAGCCGTGAGACGCGTTGACGGATTGAGAGCCAGAGGCTGTGTGGACGCAGAGGAGGAGCACGGCGTGAGACGCAGGAGACAGCAGACACCTCGAGGCCCCGGGAGAGGTGCAGAGAGAGAGAGAGACACAAGCGAGAGGCATGCGTCAAATGAGGCAGTAGCTCAAGGACGACAACAATAACAACAGTAATATACTAATCTAATCAACTATTTTTTTTCCCCATAATCTTACCAGGTAAGGCCCATTGAGCTCTTTTTCAGAGGTGGCCTGGCCACAAATGACAGCTCAACGAAGTGGATTTTCGTCTTGTGGAAATGTACAACAGCCAAATGCTCGCAACGCGTGACGGTCATTCTCAATGTGGAGGGAAAACCCGGAGCGCCCGGAGAAAAATCCACGCGGTGACGGGGAGAGAGAGAGACACGCAAACTCCAAATATACAGCAGCAGCAGCAGGCGACAGGGCCGGCATCGAACCCACGACCACCTGTACACCAGGCGAGGTAGTTAATAATAACAGCTATTACGTATCCATAAAAGCGACACTGAGTCCAAAGACTCTTTTTTTTCAGGAGGGTCCTGCCTTGGGTCTTTATTTTAAGATGTTTTCAGCCAACGTGAGAGTCTTTATACGTCAAGGCAAACGTCACTTTATACAGTACGGGCGATCCACATTTACGACGTTTGAATACCGGTACCGTGGATCGATTTACGCCGCAGAAACTCGATTTACAACGCATATTCCGACGCGACCCGCTATTCTCAGGTGCTGTATTGTCAATGTTTACCTATTGAACCCCGATAACATTACGTTTCTACTGTTTCTACTGTCTGGGGGAATGTAGGGGTCCGATTTAGGACGATCCGATTTACGACGGGTTTTCCACGAACGTGCTGTAGCGTCGTAAATGCCGGGACCGTCCTTATTAAAACAAATATTACATAATATATACAATCCCAAATGCTGCCACGACGCAATGGTCACCGGTGGCACTTGAAACAACGTTGCACGTTTTTTTCTTAAATCCTCCCCACCGCTGCTGCTCCTGCTGTTGCAATGGGTTCACCGCAGTTCTCGTTCATTGGCTGGTCACGTGGGGTGAGGCAAAGTGTGGGCACTCCCACCTCTTCCACGGACGTTTGGCTGGCAGGAAAGATTCGCCTAAATTCCCTTTGCGAGGGTTCGATGGCGACCCTGACTCCTCTATATTTGGAATTGTGCGTGTTCTCCCTGTGGTCTCATCCGTCCACTTTATGAGCACAGCATGAATTCTTCTCAGAGCTGGAGCGAAACTCTGAATGGGGATTGTTAAAACTCTCCACCAGTGGGCGCGCCTGCACGTGGCTTTGCATCCCGTGTAAAAGATTAAGGCGCAGCCCTGCAATTGCTTGCGTACGCCACTGCTGACTGAAGGATCTCTGCTAGAGGCTATTAATTTTGTTTTATTTTACTATGTAATGCCCACTAAGCTAAAAAGCTCGTTTTTCAGAAGCCACTTGGCCACAAATCATAGCTCAACGAGGTGGCTTAGCACGTGGAAATGTATAGCGGCCAAATACTCCAAATGCATTTGTATTCTAAATATGGAGGGAAATCCCGGAGAACAAATCCACGCGACCATGGGGAGAGAGAGAGACACGCAAACTCGAATATACAGCAGCAGGCGTCAGGCTCGGGATCTGTCCCACGACCTCCTGCATTCCAGACGAGGTAGTTACCATCTCGCCACCGTAGCTGGGAATTGAACACAGGGCGTCTTCGTATGGCTGGGGAAGCCATTATTGTAGTTTGACATCGACGTCAGCGATCGATGGAACAGCTTCGGGTGTGGCAGAGCGAGTGGTCGCGACGCCACGTGGGTAACGGATGTGTCGAGGCGAGGAGTTGAGCACGTGGGTCGATCGTCGTCTTCGCTTGGGTTGGTGGCCGCGGTCGCTATTCGGGCTGCTCCCGCACGCTCCGCTTGTGGCCAACGTCAATTTCCCCGGGCTTGTCCCTGAGCGGTCGTGGGTTTGTCCCAAGTTTGCCGTGGCACTCCGGGCATTGGCTTTTGTATGGCAGCGCGCCAAACACTGCACCGCCCCTCCTCCACTGCTGGGTTAATAGGCAAGTGTCCTGCATGGGACACAGGGGCCTGCTGAGCACAGCGTCGGACTGCTGTGCCTTTGATCTCACTTCAAATCGGCTTCTCTCGGCCACGAGACGCAATTGCTTCCTTCCTCTTACATACAGTCCACTTTGTTAGTTACACCTCGTGCAGTCTATTTGACGAATGCACGGTCGCTCTCTCCGTGCAACGCCC